GTCATGCAGGCACGGATAATGTTGGGTTTGATTCGTTGTAGCTCATCAAGTCATCTGTCATATCTTACAGAATATCCGAAATTTTGAAACTGTGGGCACCAGCTGGCGCCCACACCCGCGATCTTCCTGAATTCCCATCCAGTCATGGAATGACTAATTAACACGATGAAGTAAAGATCACTGGGAATGCACGCGAGGCGATAACCAGAACGCAGCACAACAGGACTTCTGACATAGATGCGTTACGATGCGTAGATACGTTGCCTCCATTCTTCCAGTTTTTCATTGGTGTGAACCTTTTGATGGATTCAGCGGCCAGAGCCCAGGCTGAGCAGTGCTTGTCGCATGCACCCTGGCCGCACAGTTCCATCCAATAATTTAATTAATCGTTTAATTTTGTAATTAACGTTTCATCACACTTTTGCATGTTCGCCACGGTCCACCGAATCATCCAGCCTCATCTGACCTTACGCGGCCGCTGCCAGCGACCGTAAACCATCCCAGTCACGGGCGAGCCCTAGCATCGAGTCGGTCCGATCCGACAACTCGGCGACGGAGGACGCGCGATATAACCTCCCGTTTGCGCTTCCTTACCCCGTCTTAGCGCTCTGACTGAGCTACAGTGGCGCACTGGAGCTATGGTGGCAGACTTATCTAAGGCATCATACTGGAGCCTCGTAGGCCGACGAATATTTCTCTCACGATCATTTCAACATTGAAAAAGCGGTAACCGTTGTGGTGCACTGTAACCAACGCCTTTCTCAAAGCCACTCGCGTATTGTAACCTTGGCCAATAAATAAACCACCTACAATTTAATTATTTCGTGAGTATATCAAGTGGTCCATTGACTACTGCAAGGTGCCTATTCGAATGAGCCTTGTTGATGCACTTGTTATGGTGTAACCACGTTTTTGCGTGTGCGCGCGCTGCGCGCGCGGTGTGTGGTGTGTGTTTGTGGTGTGTGTGTGTGTGTGGTGTGTGTGTGTGTGGGTGTGTGTGTGTGTGTGTGGTGTGTGTGTGTGTGTGCTGCGTGCGTGCGTGCGTGGTCGTGCGTCGTGC